TCTTAGGCCAGAATTTTCTAAACTTTAATCCTATAAGATCTTCATGATTTAATGATGTCCCTCTCCCACCTCTGCAAATTCCGCCACCCCGGTGCATCTACCTTACAATTACAGCTACAGTTTTCAACTATATAATTTTAAGTTTATCATCTTTGCTTAAATGGGTATATTTTAAAAGAAAATCATATTTTACCACCATGAATGAAAAGCCACTATCACTTGGGATACATTAAAGTAACAATCAAAATAAATACAAAGCAAAATGGCAGAAGAGGAGGGTCCAGTCCTTACATGTCCCTCCCCCCCTCACTTCCCCACTACAGAAATACCAATTTTAACAACCACCCATAGATGAAAACATGTTTTGGGGAGCCCAGAAACACCTGAAATGTTCCAGTACCTCGGTGGAGCGAAAAAGCCAGAGGAGAGATGCACTGAAGAGGTAAGAAGAGTGTTACCTCACCCCTCCTCCAAGGCAGCACAGCTCAGGGGCAAGAGAGATCTCCCGGTTCAAAGCTTCCCCAGCTTCACAGGACGTCGCCCACTTGTGTCTTGTCCTGCCAAGAACATCGGGGGGATCGGCACTGCTGAATAGTCTGGGGACACCTAGGAACAGAGAAAAGGGGGCGGTGGAGGGGAGAGCTTATAGCACCAATGGATCTTAACAACTGGCCACAGATCCTACGGCCTGGCATACAGTCTCCATCAACAGTCCTGCTCACAGAGGAACAGCACTCGAAAAATGAAAACGAGAACTAATATGTTCTCCAGCAATCCCGCTGCTGGGTATTTACCCAAAGAAATTGAAATCAGGATCTTGGAGAGATCACTGGGCTCCCCGTTAACTGCAGCACTATTCACAAACAGCCACGGCGTGGGAACAACCTAGATGTCTGTCGAGGAATAAATGGATAAAAATAACGTGGTATATGTATATATACAACGGACTATGATTCAGCCTTTTAAAAGAAGGAAATCCTGCCATTTCTGACTACAGGGATGGACCCAGAGGGCATTATGCTAAATGAAACAAGCCAGACACAGAGAGACAAATAATATCTGATCTCACTTACATGTGGAATCTAAAATTCACAATTCATAGGTGCAGAAGGTAGAATGGTGGTTGCCAGGGACTGGGGGTGAGGGAAATGGGGAGATGTTGGTCAAAGGGAACAAGTGAGGACACTTTGGGAGGTGATGGGTATGTTTATGAGCTTGATGGTGATGGTTTCATGGGCGTATTCTTATCCCCAGACTTGCTGAGTTGAATACATTAAATATGTACAGCTCTTTACATGGCACTCATACCTCAATAAAGTGGTTTTAAGAAATAATGAAATAAAATAAATACAATGAAAACCAAAAAGGTGATTAACTTTTAGGTAGACAGTATGTCTGCCTAAGGTCTAGGCAGGAGGCTGCCCTGTGTTAAAAGGAGAGAGAAACAAGGATGAGCAACGACTTAGACTCAGTAAGACCCAACAGAGACACTGCACCTGTCACAAAGAGGAATGAAGAACCACCTGTTCTGTTATGTGTCTCTCTTGTGACCAGGCATCCAGAATCACTTCGATGCCTTTCGATAGAAACAAAACAAGCAAAACTGCATGAAGAGAAGGTTGCAGATCCAGTACCTGAAGGTGACAGGTCCTTCTCTTTCTAGAACCTTCTCTCTCTAGAACCTTCTCTCTCTAGACCCCTTTCTGCATTCTACTGAGTGGTAGCACAGAACCACCCAGGGCCACCTTATTGGAGTGGTTTTGTTTTCTATTTGCTTTTTGTGTTGTTGGGTTTTTTGTTTGTTTGTTTTACCACTTTTATATGCCCAGAGGAAGGAGTCCATGGGAAGGGGCAGTTAAGAGAAGGAAGCACGTTCCTGGAGTGGGTTGAGAGGTCCAGGGCCCAGGGCCCAAGCCCGCACAGGAGGCAGGATACCCGGTGTAGAGGCAACAAGGACCGGAGTCACGCAGGTGCGGGTACTTATGGAGACACGGAGGGTAGGACGTGCGTGACAATAGTCTATTGTCCCTGCAAAACAGAAGATAAAGTCATCCTCTGAGACGGAAGGGATGAAACACTGGGTTTGGAGAGACCGGGAAGGTTTGGACGGTCTACGAAAGGCTGCGGGCTGGCTCGTGGCCGGCGCCGTGGCAGGAGGCTGCTCGTCCGCAGTGGCACCCCGCCACCGGGGAGAACAGCAGAGCGGGTGAACAGAGCTGAGACCAGCGTCGGGTCACAACGGTGCTGATGCAGGTGCAGCCGGGGAAAAGACAAGTTGCAGGTTCTCCAAGCGCCTGCGGTGACCCCTGCTTCCCGCTTACAGGGCACACCCAGCATCTCACTGCCAAGCAGCCACCCGTGCGCAGGGGCGCGTCCCTGAGCGCAGGGCTGGCGAGGGAGGGGCGCGGAGACAGCCCAGCTGAACCAAAGAGCCTGTGTGAACGTATCACATTAGCTTACATAAAACCGCACCGTCCTGAAAGGGGGAAAGGGAATGACTTCAGTCACACAATTAATCTCGAAAGATCTTTTTCTAAAAAAATGCTAAGCTTTAAAACAAGGGTTGTTCAAAACCGAAATTTTAAAGGTTAATTGCTAGTGTCTTACACCTAATTCAATAGTTTCGCTAATGCAACAATATTCAGTTAAGTTCAGTGTGTGAACCCTACAAAGTAAGTATATCAGCCATGACTATAAATCCGTGAAATTTTTGTGTAAAGCAGCTGTTTAAAAGACCTTGGTCTCCATACAGAAAAAGTATGCTGTCTTTCTACTTAAGTGGAAAAAAAAAAAAAAAGCCTCCACTAAACAGTGTCAAGAATTTTTTTTTAAAGATTTTATTTATTTATTAGAGAGAGAGCATGAGTGGAGGGGAGGAGCAGAGGGTGAGGCGAAGCGGGCTTCCCACGGAGCAGGGAGCCCGATGCGGGGCTCGATCCCAGGACCCCGGGATCATGACCTGAGCCAAAGGCAGACGCTTAATGGACTAAGCCACCCAGGCGCCCCAGGAAATTTTCAGTCAGGATAAAAAGGACTCCAGAATCCTGCCAGAAATACACATACCCTAAACAAAAACAAAACAAAACTGTCAGTCCTAGTGCTAATTTGTGTTCTGTGTTGCTCACAGCCATAAACCAGATTTGGCTACAAATCCAGGATGTGGAGATCCAGACTTCTCTGCAGAGTATGGGGCTCCCAGTGACGGGGGCAAGAAGCAAGAAAGCCTGAAATCCTACCCAGCCTTGGCTACTCATGAGCTAAATCATCCTGGAGCTTTATGTAAACACTATAAAATACCAAGTATGGTACAGATTTCAAGGGCTATTACTTTACCAACTGCTTTGGGTTAAATTGGGTCCCCCACCCACCCAAAAAAGACACGTTGAAATCCTAACTCCTAGTACCTCAGAATGTAACTTATTTGGAAACAGGGTCTCTGCAGATACAAAAAGTTAAGGGGAGGTCATACTGGAGTAGGATGGGTCCCAAATCCAATATGACTGGTGACCTTATAGGGAGAGACAGAGACGCACAGGGAGAAGGCCACATGAAGACGGAGGCAGAGAGGGGCGGGATGCATCTACAAGCTAGGGACCACCAAGATTTGCCAGCAGCCCCCAGAAGCTAGGAGAGAGGCACGGAACAGATCGCCCTCATGGCCCTCCGAAGGAGCCAACCCTGCTGGCCCCTTGATTTCAGACTCCTGATCTCCAAAACTGGGGGAATATAACTGTCTTGTTTGAAGGCACCCAGTTCGTGGTAATTAGTCACAGCTGCCCCAGGAAATGGATGCCAATGTCAATACATACAGAGGAAAATTCTCAAGCAATGCCACAATCGAAAATAAATTCATACTTGAAAACCGAGCCAACCGAATTCTAGTCAATGTCCATAGATCCTTCTAACGCTACTGGTTCTCAACTGAGGGTGGCCCCCACCCCATTCCCACAGACCCCTGGAGACACTGGGCAGTATCTAGAGGTATTTGCGGTTGTCACATTGAGGTGGGGGGGATGCTACTGGCATCTAGTGGGTAGAAGTCAGAGAAGTCACCCAGCATCCTACCATGTGCGGGGCACCCTGCACCCCCCACAACAGCTCGAGGTCCCAACTCAGCAGCAGCCCCCTCCTTAAACACCCAAATCCAGCCTGTGAACCCTGCAGCTGACCTCCCCTTGCCCAAACCAGGAACCTTCCCCGCTCAACACCATGGAACATCACGCTGAATGAAAGAAGCCCAGCACTAGGGAGGGCTTACTGTCTCGTTCCACTTACACGAAGTGGAAACACAGCAACACAAACGATTGTGACCGGTCACCCTGGTGGGTGGGTTGGAGGGGCGATAGGAAAGGGGCTGAAGGGCTTCCTGGAAGCCGGTCGTGTTTCTTGAGGTGGGGCTGGTTAACACGTGCGGACTCTATGAAAAGACACTCGGGATTTCTACACCATCCAGAACCTACGTTCTACTTTGAACACCACCTGCCTCACTGGGTCAGCACCTCCTCGACTGTCTGGGGAGAAGGAGGAACACCGCGGTCAGGGCTGTGACCAGGCCCGCAGCTGGGCAGCGGGGCGTGTGCTGGGTGCGCCTCTCACCACGGGGCCTCAGTTTCCCCTCCGGTGACCGGACCCCCTTCTCCCTACTCGGGGTTTGCGGGGCTCTGTAGGAGGACAGGCGGTGGCACAGGCCTGGGTTTGGCACCTCGCAGGCGCCCATAAGTGTGTCCCGGCGGCCCGGACAAAACCAGCGCGACCTTTAACGACAGCCTGGAAAAGGACCAAGACCACCGCCCCCGCCAACGGCTCCCACTGCGGGGCTGGCTCCCCTTTTCTTCGCCCGGGTTCAGGGAGGGGCGGGGGGCGGGGCGGGGCCTGCTGGGGGCGGGGTCCGGCAGGGCGGAGGGGCGGGGCGGGGCCTCGCTCGGAACCGAAACGCGAGAGCGCAGGCCCTTCCGGCGCGTGCCACGAACTACAACTCCCACAACGCGCCGCGGCCCCGCGGTTGGCCTCAGTCGTCGCGAGAGGAGGCCGCTGGGGGCGGTGCTTGTGCGCCGACAAACGGAAGTGTGGGTGACGGTTGCGACTTCGCCGCCAAGCTGGGAACCGGGGAGATGGCCGAGACTGACCCCAAGACCGTGCAGGATCTCACCTCGGTGGTAAGGGACGCCTGCCGGGCCCTAGGTCGCGGGGCCCCCGGGCCGAGGGGCCCTGTCCGCGGCCGGGAAGGGCCGAGTCTCCGGAGGCCGGGCTTCCAGCGGCTTCACCGGCCGAGGCCCCCAGGCCCAGCCTGCACCCCACCAGCCCCACCAGCCCCACCAGCCCCACTCGCCTGACCTGAGCCGCCGCCCCCACCCCGCGCACCCCCCCCCCAGCGCTCCCCGCACTCGTCACACCCCGAGGCCTCCGCGAAAGACCTAGCGAACTGTGAATCGCGGCGGCCGCGACGGAGAGGGGTCTCGCCACCCAGTCGGGGTCATGGGGGCGGGTGGGGGGGGGGACAGTCCCGCTGAAGGCTGCAGAGCCGCCCAGAGCAGAGGCCTCGGAGGAACGGGACCGGGACCCCCGTCCCGACCCCAAGCAGGTGTCCCAGGGTGAGCGCGAGGTGGTCTTCCTGTTTCTCAGGTGCAGACACTCCTGCAGCAGATGCAAGATAAATTTCAGACCATGTCCGACCAGATCATTGGAAGAAATATCCTTTGTATGTGCGGTCAGCCTCTGCGGGCCCTTGGCTCCTATGGTCCGGGACGCGGTGTTGACAAACGTGTGGTTTGCAGGCCAGCTGCAGGCAGTCATTTACCACGTTTTTTATTTTGTTGTTCTTACTTTTTTTAACTGAGCTCGGGTGGAGTCTTCCTGAGCCGCGCGGTGCCAAGAGCTGGGGATACCGCCGGACTGGACCCCTGGCCTCCAGACACTTCGGTTTACCAACAGTAGCGTCTAGTATGAGTGCGGACTGTGAGCTAAGCATCGGAGGGGGATCTCTGCTCTGGGCCTCACCGCAGCCTGATGAAGAAGTTGTAGTGTTACCTTCGTTGAGCGGATGCACACACAGCAGCTTAGAAAAGTGGGCGAACTTGCCCAGGTGCCCGGACTAGGAAAGGGCAGGGCTGGCGTGTGATCCTTGCCCCAGACTCCTGGCAACCACGAGAATTTGACCCTGCTCGTAGGAAAACCAGTTTCACCGAGACGGTTGTGTTTGAGGCCATAGCGTCCAGGGCCCCAGAGGGAAAGGAGGAGAGGTGGGAGGTGCTGGTGTGTGTGGCCTTTAACTTCACCACTTGATGACATGAGCAGTCGCATTGACGACCTGGAGAAAAACATTGCAGACCTCATGACACAGGCTGGGGTGGAAGAGCTGGAGGGTGAAAACAAGATCCCTGCCACACCAAAGAGTTGAAGGTGAGGGAGGTGACAGTCTCAGGAGGTGTGTGTCACTGTAACTTTGATGTGGTCAGGCTTTCTCTCTCGATCGGTTCCCAGCCGTGATCCCAGCAAGCATCTCTCATTTTCCTGGTTTTTATTAATTAGACCTGTATCCTTAGTATTGGTTAACATTAGGTAATCACTGAGTTTATATCATTGCAGACAAATACCAAAAATGTATTTTGTTGGCCTGCAAATTCTTAACTGCTGGCAGATATTTTTTTTTTTTTTCTGGTAACCCAAACCCCACAATGCCACCTTCAACTTCATAAATGCCTTGAATTCTAAGGGTTCTCTTGGGAACACCCCCTCCACTAGATAAATGCCAGGACAACACCTGATTATGACTTGAATGAACCGGGTTAGGCCACAGTAAGCCTTCACCCTAGCGTTGATTTAAATTTCCACTATGGTTGGCTCAGTCGGTTAAGCGTCTTCCTTCTGCTCAGGTCATGATCTCAGCTCAGGTCGTGATCTCAGCCCCACATGGGTCTCCCTGCTTCGTGGGGAGACTGCTTCTCCCTCTCCCTCTGCCCTCTCTCTCTCTCTCTCTAATAAATAAAATCTTTCTAAAAGTTAATTTCCACTACACAGCTCCAGATATCTGAGGAATGATGGATGATCAACAATAGCCGCGTAGCAAGACAGCAAGATGCAGTTGGCTGCCTTAGTCTCCCCATAGTGGGTTTCTTCCTTATAATAAGGCTTTTCAGGGGGCGCCTGGGTGGCTCAGTCGTTAAGGCATCTGCCTTTGGCTCGGGTCGTGGTCCCAGGGTCCTGGGATCGAGCCCCGCATCGGGCTCCCTGCTCTGCGGGAAGCCTGCTTCTCCCTCTCCGATTCCCCCTGCTTGTGTTCCCTCTCTCCCTGTGTTTCTCTCTGTCAAATAAATAAAATCTTAATAAGAAATAAAAAAATAAGGCTTTTCAGGAGTATGGTGGTTACCTCGCTGCAACCCAAAAATCATTTTGAAACTCCCCTTTCTCTGATCCCATTTTTAGTATTTTTTATATATTTTTTAAGATTGTATGTACCTATTTGTCAGAGAACACAAGCCGGGGAGGGGCAGAGGCAGAGAGAGAAGCAGGCTCCCCACCGAGCAGGGAGCCCAGTGCGGGACTGATCCCATGACCCCAGCCGAAGGCAGACAGTTAACCGACTGAGCCACCCAGGCGCCCCTAGCATTTTAATTCCCTATGAAAATAAAGTTTACTGAGAATTTTCAGGTAACTAGAGTACCAAGCAGAATAGACAGTAAAAAGCACCAGATTCGTTTTTTAAATGTTTTGGGCGTGTCCTGGCTGGACCACATTAGAAGTAGCTGTGACATACAGGTAGCTTTGAAGTCCAAGAAGAGAGAGACTTGGGAGCTAAAAGACTTTGAAATTTGCTGTTATTTTAACCAGGAGATCAGGTTGATTTCACTGTGTGAGTCAGTCACACACTTGTTATGTGTGGGCTGTCCTCGTTATTCCTACAGAGCGATGATTTGGAAAATGTCCTGCTTCTCTGAGTCTCATGCCACATGGCGGTCAAAAGTCTCATCCAGTGAATGAGCACGTCCTATGAAGGACCGCAGGATGAAGACTTTCCGAGTGACAGGGCTGATCCAGAGGAAGAAGAGCTGGGAACAGATTCAGAAGTTTTTAAATAAAGATTTCCAGTTAAATCGGTTGCGGTATCTTTGCTGGGGCATCGCGCAGAGAGAGGACGTCTAGTTGACTAGAGGCTTCGAAAGGACTTGTACTGTTTGACAGTGCTGTGTGTCCGTGTGCTCTGTCCCTGTAGGAGCATAACGTGTCGATGGTTTTTCTTTTCCAGCAGGTGGCTAATTCCCCCCCTGAAGTCCGGAACACCACTTTCACAAGCTGAGAGAAGACCGAATGGCTTTCTGAAGCGACTGCTGTGTGTAGACAGGTTTCCGACCCTAAAGTGTGCGTTCTTCTTACCACGTACTATATAGTCTGTAGAGTGATTCTCCCCCCAGTCTCTTGAACATGGAAACTCCACATCTTGGACCTTGGTCAGTCGTGCTGTTAAATATTAAACACTAAAACTTCGGCGGTTCCTGCATAAAATTGTCACCTTTTCTAGTGTATTTTTGTGAAGTTGTTGTTTTCTATCATTCCTTTTGTAGTAGTTGCTGTTTGATGAACGTTGCTGTGTAATTTTTTATTAGGCATCCGGTAGACCCTTCCGTTATAAGTAGATCTTGTGAAGGAAGACATGTGGCAAGTTGAGGGTTCTTTAATTCTCAGCACGGGGTGTTGAGCCAACACCAAATCGCATGTTTGGTGGTACATTTCACATGGGTAAACAACATTTAAAAATTGTTGATTCGGAAATCTCTGGCGCTACCCGGTTGTCAAAACTCAAATTGACCCGCAGCATCCTGAGTTAAGTCTCTGAGGCCAGAGGCCGAAGCACTGACGAGTAAGCCCTGCCACTCCGCGTGCGAGAATTGTTCGGTTCGCAAAGGGACGCAGCCGCCTAAGGTACCGAGGCGCTCATTAGTTAGCGTTTTGCATGAGATTTGGATACGTGAGTAGGCCCCTGTGCTGTTCATCTACGATCGTCACCATAGAAAATCTGGCAGGATTTTACAGCCCAGTTCGCCGTCTTGTCTGGGAGCTACTGCTTTGGGAAAAGGAACAGAACAGGAAGACAGACCCATGTGAAGTCCGTGCCGGTTGCTTGGCTAGGAAATGATAAATGACTTGTAATCGGCTCAAGTTTTTAAGACTGATTTCTTTCAACTATTTCTTACCTAAATTCTTACAGAATCACGGTTTTGTTATTGATTATAGAAGATAGGGATAATAATACTCTTGCCACTCAAAAAAGCCGTGCCCGGAGTGCTAAGCCCGGAGGCCGGGACTGACTGCGGGAGACCCATGTGATTGCCCCAGTGAAGGGACTTTGTCCACAGAAAATGGGAAAAGTTGAGGAAGGGGACAGTGCTTCTTAGAAGGAAGCCCTGAATGAGCGAACACAGTGTGAGTGTTTTGAAGTTTCCTCTATCACCAGTCGTGTTTGTATTGCAAATAGGTAATATGATGAAGAAATCACGTGTCCTAGTTATAGGTGACGTAAGTAACACAAAGTAAGTTTCTTCTGAGATATGAGGATTAAGCACTGTTAACCACCCTGCTGCAGAAACTTCTCTGGCAGGCCAGTAGGTTGCTGCCAGGCGCCGCCCAGCAGAGGAACCCTGCATGCAGGAGGCTCTCGAGCCAGCGAGGACCTGGCACGTGGCAGGGACACAGCCACTTGCTGTCCGGATGTAGGTAGGAGTTGTCGTTAAGTAAGGGAAAGATTTCAGAGGCAAGCTCCCCTGACCAGAAATATCTGCCATGAATAAAGGTGCCTGAAATCCTGCTATCGACGCGTCCTTTGTGTCCACGATGATTTGGTTTTCCATGTTTTCGGATTTAAATGGACACACCATTTTAGATGATGGGCTAAAACCTCTGGAAGGATTAGGTCCACAGAGCCGGAGGCCGCGCGTGGGAAGGGGGGTGTGGGCGGGGCTGTGCTGTGGGAGAGGGGGGCCAGGGAGCGCCAGAGCCGGGGGCAGACTGCCCTCTGAGGAGAGCTGGGCTTACCCACATCCCTGAGGCAGGCCTTTTCCAAGTACGTTGCCCAGGACACTTGTCCTTGGAGAAACACTAGCAAAGAAGGGTTTATGGTCACTTGGGTTTAGCAAACTTGCCTCCTACTAGATTCACTTCATGAAAATTCACAGTGCAAATTAGCATATTAAAGGCTCCGAGGTCCCAGAGCAGAGTAATGTGATTTAACTTTCTCACCTGCCAGTTTCCAAGTTATTTGACCAAGGATCTTTTTTTACACTTAGCACCTAATTAACATTTCATTGAACTAGCGGGCTGTAAAATACACAGGGGGAGATAGCAGTTAAAGTAATCCAATAAATAGCTTTGGATTCAGTTTATAACTGCCTGCCTTGCCAAGTACTCGACGTGTTGGCCAAGCCTCTGGGCAAAGCCTTATTTAGCCTGATATAACTTTGGGACCCTGGTGAAGCCGTCACATTTGTACGAAATGATGGCTTTGCCTCACCGTGGAAGCGAGAACCTCAGATGCCTGCTCAGCCCCGTCACCCCACGCACCCCTGGGAGCAGGTGCTTGCTGCCACAGCCCCCTGGCTTGTCTCCGCCTTGGGCCCACAGCCCGGGGCCACGCCTGGGGCCACGGGCCCCTCCTTGCACTGCTTCCTCTGTGGCTGACACCCCCTCCTGCGGGCTTGGAGGCGCGTGTTTGCAAGGAGCAGCATGGACCCTTTCCAGTTCCGGGAGCAGTCTCTGCAGGGCAGTGTGTTACCTCTCTTACACTCCAACTGGTTTGTGTCCACTTAAAGGTCATGAAGATCCTACTGAGGACTGATGAATATAACAAGCATGGAGGGGGCTTGCACTAAGCAAAACGCTTCAGTTCAGTTGAATGCCCTCACCTCCCAAACCAGGAGGCCCCTCATCAGCTTCCTCCCTGGGCCTAGCGCTTTCCTTCAAGCCACAGGATTTTAAAACACTTTAATCTCATCGATTTTTATTTTCTGTTTCATTTCTAGTGAAGTGCCATCATGTATGACCTTATCAGAATATACGTCTCGTATTTTGGGTAATTAAAGGTTAATTTGTCTTCATGAGTTGTCGGGATCCTAACTGCACTTGCAACATTGCTGCTAAGGGAACAGAGTCCTCCAAACAATCCATGCAAAATGAACTTTTTTTTAACATCCTGTTTGTACATTGAAGGTTCCCTCTAAGAATAATTGTTCCTCTTTTTTTTTTTAATTCGGTAGCTTATATGAATCAGTTTAAGTGGAGGAATTGGCACCATCTGTTGTCAAATCTAACCCTGAAAATTAACTGGCAACAATTGACAGTCTAGCTAGCACTTTCTGAAAGTGTTTGTTATAAGCCACTGCGCTGGGCTGGGCATTTTGTTTACATTATTTGTCTTAATCCTCAAGACAACTCTGAGTTAGGTTTTTAATCTCATCAGTCTCTGTTTAAACAGAAGAACCCATGGGTGAGTGGCCGTGAGGTCACCCGGCTGACGGCGGTGACACTGGACCCCCCCTACAGCTGGCCCCAGTGGCCGAGCCCACACTCACAGCTGGGCTTCGTCTGCCTCCAAATACGTATGTCCATGCACGCTCTGGGAATCACCGACCCCCTACCTCCGTGGATCTTGAAATTGTTTTCAAAAGGCTGATTTTGTGTTTTCAATTAAACATCACCCAACTTAAATACTAAACATGCTTGACGTGAATTTTTATTCAGGATTAAAACTATGCAGGGCTCGGAGAAAACCTGTACTCCTGGACCAGCAACTTTTTTTGTTTTCTCCTGGACAAGTTGAGAACAACTCAAGTCCAGGTGAGTGTTTCAAATATTTGCCTTGACAGAACAGAGAAAGACATGTATCATATGACCTCACTGATAAGAGGAATTCTTAATCGCAGGAAACAAACTGAGGGTTGCTGGAGTGGGGGGTGGGGTGGGAGGGATGGGGTGGCTAGGTGATAGACACTGGGGGGGGTATGTGCTCTGGTAAGCGCTGTGAATTGTGCAAGACTTGAATCTCAGATCTGTACCTCTGAAACAAATAATGCAATATATGTTAAGAAAAAAAAAGAAGAACAAGAAGAAGAAGGTAGCAGGAGGGGAAAAATGAAGCGGGGGAAATCGGAGGGCTAGACGAACCATGAGAGACGATGGACTCTGAAAAACAAACAGGGTTCTAGAGGGGAGGGGGGTGGGAGGATGGGTTAGCCTGGTGATGGGTATTGAGGAGGGCACATTCTGCATGGAGCACTGGGTGTTATGCACAAACAATGAATCATGGAACACTTCATCTAAAACTAATGATGTGATGTATGGGGATTAACATAAGAATAAAAAAAAAAGTGAATATTTGCCTTGACAGAATCCCAGGGAATACTAACTCCTGCTTCTCACATTCGTCTCCTTGCTCCCACCTCATCACTTCTCACGCGCGGAAATTCTCCCTGAGACCCTCCTGGGGGGTGGGGGGAAGAAAGAGCCCCTCCCACAATGACCCATTTCCTTACCATCTTATCAGGTCACTTTGTTAAAAAAAAACACACACGCACAGATGAGTACAGAAGTCTTAAGAAGGTACCCACGCCGCGATCACCTGGAATCTTCGGCCATCATGTATGAAGGTAAGTGTCTGCTTTTAGCTGCAGCTTCTTTAAAACTCTTTTTCAATGAATGGAAATGGGGGGAGGGGGGCCGTGAGTCTCTGCCCAGAAACAAAAACCAGAGCGATTATGATTGAACTCCTCGCCCCACAAATCACTTTGGAAATAGGAAGGGAGTTTGTCTCTACAAGTCAGGTTGACTCAGAAAAGAATCCATTCTAATGTTTTGCCCTCACACCAAGAGAGGTGCCTGGAAGTTCTTCAGACACCTGCCTCGGATAAGATTTATAGCTAATAGATACAGAACATCTGCTTCCGTGGGTCCCTGGCCACTGTTGGTGAAATGTAATGCTGTGTAGCTCCTTGAGCAAGGCCAAAGCATGTTTATAGACCGCATACGTAAATGTCTCGGGCTGCTCCCCTGCTTCCTGGTGGTAATCTTTATGGTATGTTTATAGTTTCCCACTCTGTGGATACATTTTGACCAATTACTCATATTGGGCAGCAGCAAATTGTCTACCTTCCAAAGAGGAACAGTATCGTTGCCCAGAATTAAGAATAGCCCGGAGTTCAGGATCCGGTGTTTGGAAGCACTTCACTGCATATAACAGAAAGCACAGCCTCGTAAGCCAAAGGGGGTGGTATGGCCTCGCAGGGCGGCAAATCCGCAGGGAGGGCCGCTCTGGGGAGCGTGAATTCCACACCTCCGCAAGACCATCCAGGACCCAGCTTTATACCGTCCTGGTGCAACCCACAGAAAGAGAACAGCTTTCTCCGTGTCTTTTTAAGATTGAAAAAAAATGTTTCCCCAAAGGTGTTCCTACCGCACTGCCCATCCCTAAATGCCTGTGTCTGAAACCATCTTTGGCAAGGCACCAGGCCCTGAGTGATAGGCTGAGCTCTGTGATTCTCATCTTTTGGTTCTCACGACTTGGGGATCGGGGCTGTGACTGGCATCTGGTGGGTGGGGACCAGGATGCTGCTCTGCATCCTCCAGCATGTACGTAGGACAGCCCCCACCACCAAGAATTAGCCAGCTCCACAGGTCAGCAATGGCAAGGGGGAGAAACCCCAGCTTGACCCATTCATGGTCCAACGTGAGCCCCGATGAGGCCCCTTCTAATAGTTCCTGGTTCCTTAGAGGAGATAAAGAACAAAGCCAGGATTCTATCAGAATCCTGTCGGGTGGACAGCCTACGGTGTGTTACCGACCTCTCAGATGTAGCTTCCAGATTATAAATTGTAACACTGGAGATGATTAAATGAGGAATTCGCTTGCTCTTGACGTTGGCTGCGCAGCAGAGCCCCTTGGGGAGCACTTCAGACCCCACGACCAGGCAGCACCCAGACCCACGCTGTCAGAGTCCCTGCAGGTCGACCCGGCCCCAGGCCTCGTGCTCAGCTCGCCTGTGCATCATGGTCGAGAGCTGCATTCGAGAAGGTCTGTCTAGTGCTGCTCATCGGGTGACGTAACTCCCTGAGCAGATCAGATGGGACTCTGCCAAGCTTCTGTCTGCCCAGCTGCCATGCCGACCTGGAGAGTTGAGGCTGGTACAGGTTATGTGGCGGTCGGTACGATTCACTTTTGCTTCAACCCCATCAGAAGGATTTCTGGTAATTTAAATATTATGGTTGTTCCTTTTAATGACACCCTCTCTCGGAAATAGAAGAAGGCCACCTGACTGATCCTGCTGCAAAATCCTATCGAGGTCAAGGATGGGCCCCAATTCTTCCGGCCACAGGAGTCCAGGACCGGCCTGGCACACACACTGCGTAGCTGGAAGAACTGCAAAATCATGTCCTACAGAGAAATCAGTCTCTGGTGTGTACCCAACTCACATGTTCCTCAGTCAGGACCCGTGTTCACCGGGCCAGAAGCAAGAATCTTAAAGAGACAGACTCTTCTGAAGCCAGCTGTCAAAATCATGCCGTCTTGCTAGCAGCCGTCCGAAAAGAAGGTTTATGATGGCCACAGGTGTGCTGGGGTCCGGGAGCCCCCATCACTGGCCAGACCTTCCACCAGAGCCCTTCCTCTGGGAGGTTGATCACATGACACATACATTTTGCCGGCATCATCAAAAGGAAAGGCAGCAAGATTCTTTCAGTGGGTCAGTCTCACTTCCTCAAGGCAGACGAGCCTTAACGAGGATCTGTCACCCAGCTTTGTCTTCCCGGCCACAGAGGGCAGA